AAAAAAAAAAAAAAAAAAGAAGGGAATAGCTGGGTTGAATGGAATCTCTAGTTTTAGTTTTTTGATGAATCTCCACACTGATTTCCACAGTGGTTGCACCGGTCTATACTCCCATTAACAGTGGAGAAGGGTTCCTTTTTCTGCACAGCCCCTCCAGCATTTGTTATTATTGTTTTTTTTTGTGTGTGTGTGGTACCAGGGATGGGACTCAGGACCTTGTGCTTGCCAGGCAGGCACTGCACCACTGAGCTACTTTGGTTGATTTCTTGATAACAGCCATTCTTTCTAGAATGAGATGGAATCTCAGCATTTGCATCTCAAATGGTCATTCTGTTTTTATCTTGAGGCCTGGCCTTCAATGGATGTGGCTCCAACCACTGTTGTAATGTGTTTCTATCCTCTGCATTGACTTCTGCACTGACTTCCTTGAGGCCCTGACCCTATGTGACTGCCTATAATATTTTTACCTAACTTAGCTGTTTATAGTATTGAGGACTTTAACTTCCTCCTTGATTTTCTTGTTATTCACTTCATAAAGCAAGTACTCGACTGGGAATTTTGTAGCAACCAGTACAATTCTAGTTTTGCTTAAACACAGCTGTGTTTTTTTCACAGCTGAGTTTTCAAATACATACGTGCACACAGGTGCATCCAAGCATACAGGATTTTGTTTAGAGTCTCACAAACTAAAGACCCTCTGCTACAGACAGGGTCAGTCTATGAGCTTCCTGAGGGCACTGGATTCCATTTCAAACTCTCTAAATTCAAGTCCAAGACTGCACAGTAAAAGCCAAGGAGCTTGATTTGTGCCAACCTGTGATCACTGTTAACAGGATACACTTTTGAGTTATACCATAAATCTTTAATTTTCTAGAAATCTTTACCTACGTTCAATATCCACTTTAATTAAAAACTCTTGCAGATTATACAACTTGCTGAAGGTGATTCAGCTTGCAGAGGGGTAATTAGCCAAGTAGCAGAAGTCAGCACTGGTGAAAAGATTTAGTTACAGCTTTCACTTCTGCAGGAAAGGCCCAGAGGTGCCCCAGTGAAACCTCTGGGACTAACATTTTACTTTCACCGCTGGTCCCATGGGGAGGTGGGGGCAGGTCTCCCTGCGATGCACAACCTGGACCAGAACTTCTGGACTAAAGAGTAGCTGGGATTACCTGTGTTCAACATCACAAATAGCTCCAGTTGCACTTTTTTTTTGGTACTGGGGATCGAACTCCGGTCCTTGTGCTTGCAAGGCGGGCGGTGGAACCACTGAGCTAAATCCCGGGCCCACATTTTAATTAGTCTATTCACAGATTTAAAAAAATATATAGTAATTCTAAATTTTGCCATTTAAGATTAAGTTGGGTCATTTCCTGAGAAATTCTCTCAGTGTGAGAGTAGGAACCACCAATTTAGTCTAAAAGAATGAAGTTCTTCATTCAAAAACAGCATTCTATCTGGGCATGGTGGTGCACGCCTGTAACACCAGCACTCAAGAGGATCGCTGAGGCCAGCCTGAGCTACACAGTGAGTTCAAGCCCAGCCGGAACTACATAGGAAGACCCTGTCTCCAAACAAAAAACAAAACAAAACCACAAAAGAACAAAAATAAACTAGAAACATCATCCTTACTGCAAGCCACTAAAACCAAAGCTTGGGATGGCTGCCCAACAACAAGGTTCTCTTCCCTGTCCCCTTGATGGCCACCTCCTTACCAACAGGTCGCCTTTGGACACATTGTTTTGTTTTGTTTTTGGTACCCGGGATCGAACTTAGGACCTCATGCTTTCCAGGCAGGCCCTGTGCGGCTAAGTTAAATCCCCAGCCCTGGACACACTGTTTTAAAAAAGTGCCTGTTGAACTTAATTTTGGTCACTTTTCTAGTGCAAAAACGTCACGGATAGTAAAGGGGATCCATAATTCTACACTTGACATACTTTAGTAATCTTCAAAGTTCAGGGGCCGGGGATTTAGCTCAGTGGTTCTGGCGCCTGCCTCCCAAGCGCAAGAACCCGAGTTTGATACCCGGTACCAAAAAAAAATAAAAAATAAAAAAAATAAAAACAAAGTTCAAATTTTATCTGCACCTCAGTGATCAAACGGGGCACCATCTACACAGGTGTATTCAGTCCCAGCAATTTGTGAGCCCACTTCTACCCAGCGGCTTTTTTTTTTCTTTTGTTGGTACTGGAGACTGATCCCAGTGAACTACACCCTCAACCCTTTTTAAATTTTGAGACAAAGTCTGACTAAATCGGTAAATTGTCCAGGCAGGGCTCGAATCTGCGACCCCCGTCTCAGCAGCCCACAGTGCTAGGATTACAGGCCTGCATCACCATGCCTGGCTGCCACTCCGACACTCTAAACCGTACGGCCGAGGGAAGCCATTGGCTCAGCAAAGGGAAACACGCGTGAGATGACAATGCCCACCCAACAAAACACAGAGCCGATGAGGGACAACTGAACAAACGCGGGACCTCACCCTGCTTCCTTCACAGTCCTCGGCCCCACCCTCCCCGCTGGAACCACCGCCCCCGGCTCCTTGCCCCGACGGCAAGACAGAGCGCCCGACACCAGACGCGGCTCGCACACACCCCCTCCCCGCCCTGACTCCCGGGGCAGACTCGTGGCGCGCATGCTCGGAAGGCGGGGCGGCCGGAATCTCTAGGCGCTGCCATCTGTTGCACCGCCTCCAGCTGGAGCCGGCAGATCCGGGTCTCGTGGCTGACAGTGACGTGGTCAACCGAATCCAAACAGAGCTGAAGGAGGAAGCCGACGGCCGGGAGCAGCAGCGATAGCGGCGTCCGGAGCAGCCGCAGCGTTCCGGAAACCCCAGGCGGTCTTTCTGCCGAGACTGGGTCCCGGCCCATACCCTCCCCGCCCCGTCGGTTGTTGTCTGGGCGGGTGAGTGTCTTTCCTTATCCCACCGCTGCTTGTCAGCCCACCTTCCCGTCAACCCGGCTGTTCTGGGGGGCCCCCTCAGGCGGCCGGGGACTGCGGCAGAGCGGGGTGCTGCTCAGGTCGCCGGGCGGGCGGCTCCGGAGCGGAGCGAGGCTGGCAGCCCGCAGCTGGGCTTTCTGAGCAGGGCACCGGGGCTGGGCTGGAAAGTGAACGCGAGCCACGGGAGGTTTTATTTTTAGGGCTACACGGTCTGCCCGGGCGGAGGCGTCTGATGGAGTCAAAAGTCGCAGCTGGAAAGGAGAAACTCCACAACCCTGCCATGTACACACTGTCTCGTCTGCCTGTCTGTCTCAGCCCTTCCTGGGGCTGATGAAGTCACCGGGATGCGTCCTTTGTTGTGATTGATGATACAGGAAAGCTACCATCCTGAAAGCGAGAGCTTTTCAGCCCTCTTGGGTTGCTAGTTTAAAGGATTCCTTTTTTCCTGTTTGTTAAGTGGAACCAGGGCCGATGGTCAGGAAGTAGCAGCGCCCTTTATTGGAACGAGTACTGTGCCGTGGACTTCAAGTATTGTGTTGTTGCTGAAAGCCAAAGTTTTTCCAAAGTGGCTCTTTAAGAATGTTAGGATTTTAGCCCAGATCAGTTTGTCAGCCGTGGAGAATCGGTAGGATGTTTTCAATTGCCCCGGCGTACAAAATCGAGGATGTGGCCTAAATAAAAGAATGTCATAGTGTTGGCATCTGGAGAGTCTGTGAGCTCCACGCACTGATGCCTTTGTAGGAGAGACCTTCCAGTGGAGGGGTTGCGTTCACCGAAACCTTTGGCAGCTATGCGAGCTCTAATTCGGAAACGAAAGGCTTCTCCCAGGCGCTTTAGTGTTGCCAGTGCTGTGGAGCTGGCCCAGGGGTCAGGTCCCTTCCGCTTTAGGTGATGGCTCTTTCGGGAGCCGTTAGTGCAGCCTGCGGCAAGCCTGCTTCCTCCCACGATAAGGAGACCAGAAAACCAAACTTCCTTGGCCTCCTTGCTTTTTAAAAAGAACATTCCCCCACTCCGAACTCAGTTGAAGTGTTCTGTGATAACCTGCAAGAAAGAACAAAAATATGCATTCGCCCTCTCAAATACTGGAAGAGTTCTTAGGCTTTGCTATTACTGTGCTTCCTTGAAGGGTATGTCCTTGTGCTGGTAGGGCATGGACTTCTTAGAGATTTTTCTGTGCCATTGAGATTTGATTTTTCTTTTGTCAAGGTTGGAATTCTAATGTAGATGAAGGAATATTTTGGGGGGGTTGAGATCTTTTTATTTATTGTTTTTTAAATTTTTTTCATTTTTTGGGTCTTTTATTGTTAGGAAATTACTTTTTTTTCTCCTTGATACAGGGGATCGAACTCAGGACCTTGTGCTTGCCAGGCTGGCTCAATGCCACTGAGCTACATTCCAGGCCCCAAGGAAATTACTTTCAAGTTCCTCTTTTTCAGGTTTTCACCTTTTATGGTAACCTGGGGCTAAATATTTTTGCTTATTTGAAATTCTTTGTGAAAATAAAGAAAATAATAAGCAGATGAGCAAAAAGAATAATCATCAATAATACTGCCTTCCGGGCTGGGGATTTAGCTCAGTGGTTCCTCCGCCTGCCTCACAAGCACAAGGTCCTGAGTTCGATCCCCGGTACCAAAAAAAAAAAAAAATACTGCCACCCATAAATCACCAAAACATTAGTACTGTATATCCTTCCAGAGTTTTTTGCATTTATTTTATAAAAATATGATGTCATATTATACATGCTTTTCTATAACTTGTTTTTGCTTTGCAATTTTTTGGTACGGGGGATTAAACTCAGGACCTTGGGCTTTCAAGGCAGGTGGCTGTGCCACTGAGCTAAATCCCCAGCCCTGTAATTTGCTTTTTCATGTACCAGTACTTTTTTTTTTCTGGTACCGGGGATCGAACTCGGGTCCTTGAGCTTGCGCAGCAGGCGGCAAAACCACTGAGCTAAATCCCCGGCGCTGTACCAGTACTTTTTTTTTTTTTTGGTACCGGGGATCAAACTCGGGTCCTTGCGCTTGCGCAGCAGGCAGCAAAACCACTGAGCTAAATCCCCAGCCCCTGTACCAATACTTTTTAAAACTTAAATTTTTGCAGATAGACTTTGGACTTTAGGGTTTTTTTTTTAGACAGAGTCTCACTATGTAGTTCAGGCTGGCCTCGAACTCATGGTGATCCTCCTGCCTCAGCTTCCCAGAGTGTCGGGACTGCAGGTTTGCTCCACCACACCTGGATCTGGACTTTTAGAGACTATTCACTGTGTTGGCAATCCATAATTACTGAAATCAGTGGTTTGAAAGTTTTTCTCCTGGATCTCTGTGGTGACATTGCTATCTTGCTTATTGTGGAAGCACAGGTACAGCCTGAGTTGACCTTGTGGAAGTTTAAAGTTTTGGCTTATTTAGTGGTTTTATTCAGGTTAAGTTTAGTTATACTATGCTACAAATGTGGATCAGCATTTCAGGACTCACCAGTAAGGTCCTGCAAGATTTTACTTTGCACATCACACTTAACGTGCTTCATTAACATTGGGTCTTAGATATGTGCACCTTTAATACTGTTTTTTTGTTTGTTTGTTTGTTTTTTTAAACCATTGGCAGCAAAAGAGCTTACTATGGAAGGAAATGTCCTTTTCACTTCAGTTTCAGAGAATAAGTGCCGTGAAGTGTCCTAAAACTGCTAACAACCTATTTAGGGTCAGTTTTTCATAAGCTTACCTAAAGCTGGCAAATCTCATTCCCATTTTTTTTTTTTTTGGTACTGGGGATCGAACTCGAGACCTTGTGTTTGTGAGGCAGGCTTTGGAACCTCTGAGCTAAATCCCTGGCCCGTCATTCTTAATACTCATTATGTAACTAGGTTCTTTTTCTTTGTTCTTCCTCAGTGTTCAATATGTATTTACTGCTTCCCATCCCTGCTGCCACCATCTCTCCTGATCTACTCCAGTAAATGCCTTATCTCCCTGCTTCCACTTGGGCTTTTTATGGTGCATTCTTACCTCAGCCTGAGAGATGACTTAAAATGTAACTTTGTGTCATCTGCATTCAGAACAGAGAACCAACTCCTTAGGAAGCCCATGCAGTTTGGCTTTGCCTTTCCTTCTTCCTGTTTCATTACAGAGGAGCTTGGCCACATCAGTGGCTTCCAAATTTCAGCTCCGTTACAGCTGTTTTCCCTGGAACCTGTTGAGCTAGCTCTTGCCTAAGAGCCTCTGCACTTGCTCTGCCCTATGGTTTGAGGATTCTGCAAGGGCTTTGGATGTTTCCATCGTGTCATACAAGTCATAGTTCAGGTGTTGGGGTTTCAAAGCGATTACCCTGTATCTCCATTCTCTTATTTCCTTTACAACATTTGTCATTAGCTGCAGCTTTCTTATTCTTTATATTCTGTCTCCACTGGAAATCAGTTCTTTGAGAATGGGGTTGTTTTGTCATTTGCACAGCAGAGTGGAGTGTACAGTGAGTGTTGGCTGAATGAATGTTCATATTCTTGCTTGAAACCATTCTTTAGGATAAGAATCCTAATTTTCAGACTTTTTATAAGATAGTGCTTTAATTCTTTTACTTCAGTAATTCTTTTTCTTTTTTTATGGTGCTGGGGATCAGAAACAGGGCTTTGGGCCTGGTAGGCCAGCGCTCTACTGCTGAGCTCTCTTTGTCCTTCCTCGATATTTGGGCTACAGCACCCTCATTTGACTTCAAACTTAAGCCCTGGAGAAATTGGTTTCTTGAATCTACACACCCCTCGGGTGATTTTAATGCACATTAGTGGTTTGAGAACATCTCAGTATTCTTTTTTTTTTTTTTTTTTGGTACGGGGGATCGAACTCGGGTCCTTGTGCTTGCACAGCAGGCGGCGAAACCACTGCGCTAAATCCATCCCTGCCCCTACATCTCAGTATTTTAATGGCTTTTTTCCCTGGGAGATTGCTTCTTGCTTTGTAGTGGTAATGGTAGCTACTATTTTTTTTTGAACACTATGTGTGTCAGGTGCTATGCTAAAAATTGCTCTTATATAGTTTTCATTTAACTGCAGAGAAACCTAGTGCAGTATTCCTACTTGCACTGTACAGGTAAGGAAGGGAGGCATGGTAGTCCAGCATTCTGTGAGGTGGAGGCATGAGAATTGCAAGTTCTGGCCCATCCTGGACAATTTAATGACTTAGCAAGACTATCTCAAAATAAAAGATTTAAAATAAAAAGTCTGGGGATGTAGCTTAGTGCAAAGATCTTGGGTTCAATCCCCAGAACTGGCTAAAAAAAAAAAAGCTGGGGATGGGGGATTTAGCTTAGTGGCAGCTTGCCAGCCTTGCAAGTACAAGGTCCTGAGCGTGATCCCTGGTACAGAAAAAAAAAAAATAAATAAAAAAGATACTGACAGCATAGTAAGTGACAAAAACTTAAATTTGAGCCCAGTGTGTTGTTTTCATCTCTATATCCTAGTGCTTCAGAACTGCAGTCAGAACTGTGTACAGTACTGTGAGCGTACTGTGTGGGTATTGTATCTCCTCCCAAATGGGAATTTTTTTGTGTGTGCTTGTGGTAAGGATCAAACCTAGGTGTGAATGCTAGGTAAGTACTATGCCACTGAACAACATTCCTAGCCCACCCGAAATAGATAGATATAGATATAGATATAGATATAGATATTTATTTATTTATTTTGGTACTGGGGATCAAACTCAGGACCTTACGCTTCCAAAGCAGGTGGCGGAACCACTGTGCTAAATCCCAGGCCTTGAAACATTTTTTTTTTTTGGTACCAAGGATTGAACTCAGAACCTTGCGCTTGCGAGGCAGGCGGCGGAACCACTGAGCTAAATCCCCAGCCCCTGAAACATATATTTTTAATAAGCTGATTTACTTGAAGTTTTCAGTTCGTGTTGGACATGAATATAATTTCTAGTTTTTCATTATGACAAATAGTGTTGTGGTGAATCATGATTTTAGATAGTCCATGCT